TTCTGGATGGTGCGAAAGCTGCTGTGGGCTTCTCTGGCAGCTCTACTCCCTCTGTCCTCTCCAAATGTAGGAGCAAATGAGCTGTGTAAAATAAATAATGCCCAGGAGCAGTTATTTGAATTGGTTATTGGGAATCTTTTCTCCGTAGGACTAGGCAACTTACTCTGCAGCCTGTCTCATCTCTCCTCATGAAAAAAGACATCTGTAGGTAGAGGGGTTCTGTTCCCTTCATAGGTGGGGAAACTCATGCCTAGGGAGGGTGAGAGAAGCTCACCCCCCATCTCTGGAGTCCTCAGTGATGGAGCAGGCTTGGCCTCCCTCCAGGCAGCCCAGTCTAACATGAGCACCCAGGCCTTCAGCTACCTCTGGAGCTTGTGGATCTGCCAGCCATCCAGTGAACCTCGATGAGCTCCTTTTCTTGCCAGGCCCTGTGCAAGGCTCTGGAGACACAGGTGAATCAGTTATCAGCCCTGGCACCCAGGAGTCACTGGCAGGGGGAATGGCCAAGTAAATAGACACTGGCTGCAGTGGGGCTGGTGCTGTGAGAGTGTGCAGGGAGTGCAGCTGTGCCGAGGGAGGCTGTGGGTGGCAAGGAAGCAGATTGGAGCTGGGACCTGGCCAGATGCTGATGCTTTCTGTGGGCCCCACCCAGGAGTTGGGAACAGTCAGGCTGGATGTGAAGGTGGTGGCATCTGATTGCAGCATTGGCATCCCCACCAGCTTCTGCTGAACCCCTCCCAGCCACAGCCAGGGCAGAGGAAGTGCTGACAGCTGGGTGGCAAGTGCTGGCAGCAGCCTGGGGGTGCCCACCTAACCTTCACTTCCTATCTGCCTGGGCAGCTGTACCAGGACTGCTGCAAGGTGGTGAGCTCCAGGTCCCAAATACCTGGTCAGGAGTCCTCAGGAGCATGGACACCAGAGATTACAGAGTTCATCCTTCTTACCCCCATTTGATAGATGGGGAAACCGAAGCCTGGGGAGGTGAAGTGACTCAGCCATGTTAACACGGGAGTTGGTGGCAGAACTGGACTGGAACCCTAAGACCTGCTGCACAAGATGGCTGGTCCTGGCCCATCCCTCTGATGGAAAACAGGTCATTTTCCCCTGTCCCCTCCCAACCTCCCCCTGGCTTTGTTGTGGGGAAAAGAAAGAAGGGACTTGGGGGACCTGCAGCATAGGGACAGACACAAGCCTGGAAGTTGGGCGTGAATTTAGTCCAGCTCTGCCACCCTCTTGGCCACGTCACCATCAAAATAGGGGTGATGATGCCAAGCTCACAGGAATCTGAGTGCCTACACAAGTGCTTTGGAGGCCCCAAAGCTTCATGGGCCTCTTGGGCCTCATACCTATCACTTAGCCCTGCAGAAAGGGAGCCTGAGGGGGCTGAGGAATCGCCAGAGCAGACACCTGCTCCTCCTCTTGCTCAACAAACCTTTCTGAGTGCCCACTCAGGGTCAGGCCCTGGCAGGGCACAGGAGACCCCGATGTGGAAGACCCAGGCCTGGCCTTCTCAGGCAGCTTCCAGTCTGATGGGAGAATCAACCTGTAACTTGCAAAGTTAGTACAAGGTAAGGGGCTATGGGATCCCAAAAGGAGGACTCTTTCTCCCTCTTATTTCTCCATTGTGCTGACCTATTCTGACCTCATCTTCAAAAAGGTTATCTCCATGGGGTGACAAGAGGGCCCCTGACAGTTCCAGGCTTCATGGTCCTTAGAGTTTTCAATCCCAGAGAAGGAAAAACCTTCTCTCTCCAAAGGCTTCCTGGAGGACATGCTGCTTTATATCATTGTCAGGGAATCACCAGGTGGGCAAAGCTAGGAGAGGCCTTCTAGGTAGAGGAGCAGTGACTCAATATTTCTTAGGTCCATTGGGGGCTTCCACTGCAGTCTTGGGGGTCAGAATCTATGGACAGGCCAGCTCCTGGGGCTGGGCTCTGTAGTCAGCAGGCTGCAATTATCTGGGTGAGCTGGGCTTGAGGAATGCAGCATTGCAGCCCCCTCCCCAGACAACCCCCACCCTAGCTCCCACAGAAAAACCTGTCATTCTTCGGCAGCCTTTGCATTTCCCTCTTCATTGGCAGAACAGTCTGTGGGTGGTAGTTGGGGCTGGATAAGGCAGAATGAGAACGGAATGTGCCATGTAGGAAAAGCCTGGGCTCTGGCCTACCTTGCTCTGGGGCTTGTGAGAGTCCCTTGGGCTATCTGTTTCCAGTCTGTATAATGGGGTGAGGGTTGAACAAAATGGTCTGTGGTTCCTGTACTCTGACCTTATCTACTGGTAAGAAACCGAATAAGCTTAGCAGAGGGATTTGGATTAGGGATGAGGAAGAATTTTTAGGTCGTCTTGGTTGCTTCAACTAGGAATATGTCACCACTGTGGAATTTCTACACTCCTCCCCCAAGCTGGAGTGCCACCACAGCCATAGTTGGTTGTCCCTGACCCAAAGGAAGGGGGCTAGATAAGATGACTCCCTGTGCACCTTTTCCTTAAGCACTGCCCAAACCATTGGCCTCAGGGTTGTGTCTGCAGTGGGATGCACAGGTGTGAGATGTCTGATGCCCTGCTCACCATCGCCCTCTTTCCTGCCCAGCAGAAGATGGTGGCCGCCCACTCCCTCCCCCGACCCCAATCTTGCCCTGAACCTTTGGACTGGGGCACTTACAGTAGTGTTTCTCAAACTTAATCACCTGGGAGTCATGTTAAAATGCAGATGCTGATTTAGTAGATCCAGCCTGGGACCTGAGATCCTGCATTTCTGACCAGTCACAGGTGATGCTGATGCTGCCGTTCCCAGACTACACTTTGAATAGGAAAGTGCTAGAGTACATTTTGTCTTCTCCAGCCAAGGCACCTAGTCTGCTCCAGATAGAGCAGGGACTCACTTACCCATTCACCTACCCCTAGCAGCCAGGCTCCTTCACTTCATCCTGCACAGCTCAGGAGGCAGAGCCAGCTGCTAGAAGATGACTTAGCCAGCCAGCTCTCGGGTCAGGGGTCAGGCCTGTGCATGGGCCTCACCTCCCTCTCTCATATCCTCACTCGGCCTTCTTACCATGTGTAGGCCAAGGTGAAAGCATGAGACCCTGAAGGATAAGACTGTGTCTCAGTCATCTGTTTAGGCCCTAAGCACAGCCTACCCTTGGACCCGCTATGTCCCCTGGGCAGAGCCCGTTGCACTCAGCAGCTACTATGGGAAAGGGGAGGTACCCTGAGCAGGGGCAAGAATTCTGGGTTCTAGCCTTGGCTCCATCACCAACTGCTGGGGTAACCCTGGGCTAGTCAGTGCCCCTCTCTGGGCCTCAGTCTCCCTGGCTGTCCAATAGGCTATACTAGATGACCGCAGAGCACCCTCAGGTTCCAGGAAGGGTTGTGGGGCAAGTCTGGAGGAGGGAGGGCCTATAATGCTGGGATTTTTATAAAGGAGCAATTTTGAGTCAAATCCCTGTCATGGCTCGTGGCCCAGCCTTTTTATTTCCTTTTGTGAGTTCACGTACTGCCACATCCACTCCAGTTATGCCTGTATTAGATGCCTCTGAGCACCCAGTATGTGCCCTGCACTGGGAATATGACAGTGAGCCCTGTGGTCTTGCCTGGGGTCACATAGTGGGTAGAACCAAGGTTTGTACCCAGGTCTGATGCTTCTGTTGTATCAAGCCCCCTCCCTCTGATCCATCAGACCTAAAGGGGACAGGACTGTGTGTTCTCCTTGAGACTTGGCATTTCCTATCTGTCTTCTAAAAGTCAAAGCAATTGTTAACTTTCAGCTGAGGAGAAGTGTATCCCTTTTTGAACTCTGCTGTGACCCCATTGCTCCACAGATTCTGAAGAACAGCAGATGCTTGAGTTTAAGTCTCTAAGCCCTTCTCGCTTCCTGCTCCCAGCTTATGGGCAAGGTTAAAATGTTATGAGACCCTCAAGGACAAGATTGTGACTAAATCATCTGTGCTCGAGCTTTGCAATGCGTGAAGGAATGTTTGACCAGCACACAATAGGTACTCAGTGAAGATGTGCTGAGGAAAGGACTTGCAGCTGGGGCTCAGCAGAAGAGGGGGTTTGAAGTGGCCCACTACTTTCGTCTAGCTGCTGGAAGGAATGGGGAATGGATTAGGAACCTCATCCATGTTCTTCTCAGTGCTGCCATTCCTGCAGTCACCAGACTTCCTGATCCCACTGCCTTTCAGCTGCTGGAGTCCAGGGCATCATCCTGGGGGCACAGCCACAGAACCAATTAAAGGCACATCTTGTCCTCATTTCCAGGCTTGGCCCCTGCTTGGTAGCAAACATAATTACAGTCCTCAGTGTCATCCAGGCTGCCTGAAGCTCACTGGTCACTGGGCAAAGCCTCCCACCTGACTTCTCTCTGGGCCCCAAGCTTTGGGCACTGAGCTGAAGCTGAAAGTGTAAATCTCTCTGACAGTGGCAGTGGTGGTAGTATTGGTGGTGCTGGAAATAGGAGCAAATAGGCTCTGCTCCTTGGAAAAGGAATGTCATTCCTGGGGATAAGAGGGGCAGGGCAGGGACTGGGGATGCTCAAAGTACACATGGAGGAAAAAACATTGAAAATTGGATGTTGAACCTATGTCCTTGGCCTCACAGATACAGAGAGCAAAGATTAAATATTTGTACTAGATCCAGATAAAGAAGAACAGGAGTTTGGAACAGAGAGGAGGGAAGAGACCTGGTAATTGAGAGCCTCCCCAGGGTCCAGCCCCCAAGCTAGCCTCTTTAGATAACTCTTTTGGTCCCCAGAGTGACCCTATGAGGAGGACACCTTTCCCATTGTGTATATATAGAAACTGGGGCCCAGGGAAGCATGTGAACAGCCCACAGTTACAAAGCCATTTGGTGGCAGGAATAGAATCTGAACCCAAGTCTGTCTGATTCTGTGGACCATGCTCCTCTCACATCTAGGAAGGCACCTGTGGGAAGTGGGTTGGTGTTGGGGACCCTGAGACTGGAGGGAAGGGTGGCATATGATGACATTTCCCCTCTGCTGCAGGCACTGGCTCCAGCATCCTCTTTGCCCTCCAGGACCTCTTCTCCATCACCTGGCTCAATAGATCTAAGGTGGAAAAGCAGCTACAAGTCATCTCGGTGCTACAATGGGTTCTGACCTTTCTCACGATGGGTAAGTTTGGGCTTAGAGGGAAGCAGATAGGCAGGCAAGGACCACCTCCCCAATCTCTGTTAGAGCAGGGACTCGGTTCTGCAGGGGTGAGGGGTAAGAGCAGTCCTTACACAAGCTGCCCGATAGCATCCTCCCATTTAATCATCACCTTTTGGGTCCCAGATCAAGTGCTCTCCCCCTAGTCATGCAGGAGGACTCAGTGAAATTCAGTGGGAGGTAGTGGTATAGTTCCCATTTTACAGATGGGAAACCCCAAGTCTCAGAGGAGTTGGGTAACTTGCTCAAAGTCACAAGGATTTAAATCCAGGTCTATAGGACCTCCGAAGTCTGTGCCTTTCCCATAATGCCACCCTGCCCACCAGCACACATTTTCCAGCAGGTATGTTGCTTTGCCTTATCGTGGTGTGGTGCCAGGCTGGAATCCTGACTCTGCTACAGACACGCTCTGTGACCTTACATGGGTTACTTCACTCTCTGAATCTTAGTCTCTTCATTTCAAATGTGAGGAAAATGCTACCTACTTCACATGGATTTTGTGGGAATTGAAGATAAGGAACGAAAGCGTCCAACACAGGGCCTGATCATGGTGGGTCCCCATTATATGGGAGCTGTTTTTGGAAAGTGCCCTCAGACCCCACATCCAGGCCTCACCCACCCTCTGCTGAACGCATTCCCCAGCTGCTTCCACGGCTGTTTAACATCTAATGCCTGCTCCTTTTGTCTCTTGACACTGCCATGTCAGTGTTTTGGTTGCTGCTTCTGCAGATCCGACTAAATACCCTCACTCCCTGGGTTGCCATCCAGGCCAGGGTCAGGACCATGTGGATTGTCTTGGAGAAGACATGCCTGGACCCCTTGCTACTCTCCTAGAAGCCTCTCCTTCCCCAGGCCTCTGTGTCCTCAGCATAGCAGGTAGCTTTCCCACTTATCAGGACAGCCAGACCTGCTGCAAAGCATCATGGAGTGCATGCTGGCAGCTGTGAGCACATCTCTCTGGGCGGCCCACTCTTCACAGCTGTCTGGGCTCGTGGGGGATCATCAGGGGTTACCAAGTCAGCACTGAGCAGCCGTCTTCCCAGCAGGATGCTCTGAGACTACATATGCAGGGCAAAGGAGGAGACAAGGGTGCTATTTATCGAACCCCCACAGTGTGCCAGGCCCTTGGCGTGTCTTTCCTCAAATCCCCACTTCACAGGTGAGGAAATGGAAACTCACAGAGTTTCAGTGACTACCTGAGACTGAGAAGCTCATTAAATGGCAGAGTTGGTATTTGAGCAGGAGCCCATGCATTCCCCAGGGAGCCCACCTTACCAAGGAGCCCAGAATTAGTGGGCCTAGGCTGAGACAGCCAGCCTTCACCTTTAGTCCCAACAGGGGGCTTTGGGTGGGTCCGTGAACCCCTAAAATTATATGCCAAATTTTATGTGAGAGTATATGCACCTTTTTCTGGATAGAAGGACCATAGCTGTCCTCAGATTCTTACAGGGACATATGGCCTCAAAAAGATAGACACTGGTTTGGGGAACAGAGCCCGGCTCCCTCAGGGCTCAAACCCCCAACTTGGCTTGCATTTCGCCACTTATTAGAATCCTGGAGTAGAGAGCACAGTGTAACCTCCTTGTTCAGATCAGGGACCCATTGGGGACAGAGCTTTGTTCAGGGTCATGTGAGAAGAAAGTAGTAGGACCAAGGACAAGAGGCCAGGGACTCTGGCCTCCCAGACCCCTGCCGAGTCTGCTACACTAGCTCCCTTTGCTCCACTGGCACCCAGAAGCCACCACTACTTCTGTCTTAGTGGGTCAGGGCTTGGCTGGTGGGGAGCTGAGCAGTGTGTAAAACCCCAACCCACGCAAGACTCAATGGGGACTGGCCACAGGCTGTAGGTTAACAATTAATCAGGCCCAACCACAGCCTAGAAACCGGCCCGGTGTCTTCTCAGTGCCCTCATGTAGGTGGGAGCCAGGCCTGCTTGGACAGGCAGGTCTGCCATGCTGCTAATTACTACCCTGAGCAGCCCCAGCCGCTCCCTCCCACTGCCTCCCAAACCTGCTGGCAGAGGCTGTCCTGGTATTGCAAAGGCTGCTGTGGCACCCCTGGCATCCCTCTGCTCCAGAGGCTATTCACCGCTTTTGTGTCCTGGAGTCCTCTGGCGATCTGGTGAAGGCTGTGGACCTTCTCAGCATTCTTAAATGTGTAATACAAAGTACATTGGATTTCACAGGAAACCAATGATAATGAAATGTAAATATTGGGCCGACCCTGTGGCTCACTCAGGAGAGTGTGGCGCGGGGAGCGCAGTAGCTGGGGGGCAGTGTGTGGATGCTCATTGGCAGGACAGGCAGGGGCGTGGCCCAGTGAAGAGCATGGACTCAGGAACCAAACAGACTCTGGGAGCCTTTGTCTTGCCACTTACTGGCCACAGCCTACCCTTGAATCTCAACCTCCTTACAGCATGTTGGGAAGATTAAATGAGATGATATGTGAACTTAACACACAGTTAAGTGTCTAGGGACGTGGATGTGGAAACAAGTGACATCTACATTTTCACTCATCCCTTATGGAAACTCAGCATTTCCTTTACTTACAAATCTAACAAACCACAGAAGTATTAGCAATACCTGTTGACGTGTCAGCCTTGGGGCTCCAGAGTTTTGTATCACGGTCTTCTTTGTGGGCCACCATAATGTGTGGGGAGGGGGCAAAGTGGAAAGGTGATCCTGAGCCTGCCATGTGTGGTGCAAGCAGTGTCTTTTAAGCACACATTGCTTGCATCTCCTGGGCCCGGTGGCTTTGGTTCCTCCTGTAACCCCTAACCTAAGAGAGCCTGTCGTTCAGAGGACAAGGATTAGGCTCTGAGAAAGGAAGGTCATTTGGTGGGTTCAGTTCATCCTTTTGCCCAATAAACCTTACCTGTATTGGTTGCTGGGGCTAGAGAGATTGATCTGACCTGGTTCCAGCTCCCAAGGAGCTCAATGGCTGTCTACTGAAGGGAGTCTAATGGGGGGGACTGGTGATGAAGAGGGAGATGCTGAGTGCAGAGAGGGAGGGCTGTAGATACACAGGCGTGAGGGAGCAGGTCCCCAACTGAGGATGCTAGGACTAGAATGCAGTCTCTGGACTCCCAGTCAGTTCTCTTCTCCTCCTTTCAGGCTGCCTTAGCAACAGAGTAGGGATAGGTGGGTAGGGATACTCACCCTCCCAGAGAGTCCAGCCCTCTAGGTAGCTGGGCCTGGGGCTCACCCTTTCTGGTTCCTCTACCCCTCAGGAGAGTTTGGGGTTTGCTGGCAGGTAGGTTTCCTGCCAGTCCCTAGCCTGAGCCTCATGGACCCTACCCAGGCCCACCTGAAGCATCCACCTAGCCTTAAGCTGCTCAGTCCCTAGCCTGAGCCTCATGGACCCTACCCAGGCCCACCTGAAGCATCCACCTAGCCTTTACAGGAGGTTGAATATCTGTGGAGTATAGGGGGCTAGAGTGGCCCCTTTTCCAGGCCAAAGAAAGGTGACTGTATTAGTCCATTTATGTTGCTTATAACAAAATACCTGAAACTGGGTGATTTATAAAGAAAAATGACATTTATTGCTTACAGTTTCTGAGGCTGGGAAGTCCAAAGTCTATCCGGTGGTGGCAACGGTGACCCAGGGGTCTCACATTGCAAGATGGTGGAAGCAGAGAGAGCAGAGAAAGACAGACTCTCCTCTTCTTTTAAACCCCTTAGAATCACACCCCTGACCACCATTTTTAATCCATTCACTATAGCACGGTCTTACAATCCAATCACCTCTTCAAGGCTCCACCTTTCAGTTACCATAATAGGATTTCCCACCCTCTTAACAGTCACAGTGGGAGCCAAATTTCTAATACATAAAACTTGGAACACAATTCAAGCTTCAATAGTTTTGGGGGGACATAATTCAATCGACTACATTCTGCACCTAGTGAAGGCTCTATATGGTGACTCCACCCCTGAGACAGATCTCTTCCTGGGCCCCCAGACTTTTCCAGGGACCTTTTGCAAACTGCTGAACAGTGTGACTTTGTAAGCAGCCTTAACTTAGATGCATAGCTGTTTACCAAGCAGCTTTAAGTACTTCACAGATTGCCTTTAACAGGCTTTTAGTAGGCTGCAAATGCTTCCCTCGAGACAGACTCATCTTCCCTATCTGTGATGTTACACTCCTAAGCTGGTCCTGAAAAACTGGTCACCTGATCACTCTGTGTTCACTGCCTCTCCCAAGATAGTTGTACCCTGTTTTTAGCTATTCTGAGAAAAGGCTGACTCAGGACTGGATTGGGGATGGCAAGGGGCCACCATTTCCCTGCCCTTAGGCTCATAGAGAGTCTGCATCTGGTCCTGTCCTCACCCACGGGAAACCAGAGCAGGCTCAGCATGGTGGGAAGAAGAGATCCTAGAATTCCAGAGCCAGGCAGCCCTAGAGAGCCATGTCCAGCTCAGTGCCCAGCAGAAGGTGGGCATACAGCAAGGGTTAGCCTCCCTCCCTGGGCAATGGACAGGGTGCTGGAGGAGGCCACGCTTCTTCTACTAAGCATGAGTACCTGCTGCCCCCTGGTCTTGTACTGAGTGCCAAGGGACAGAGAAGATGTGGGCCCCCTAGTGTGGGAAATTCAGAGGTGACAGATCCATGTAGGATGTATGATATTGGGGAACACTTCCTGGAGCGATGAGGTCTGAGCTAGGCCTTGAAGGCCAGGTGAAGATTGGAGAGAGAGAAGCCCAGATGTGACGAGGGGATCTAGGGGTGAGCCACAAGATAAACCACGCTTGGCATGAGCCTTCCTTCCCTCTATGCTGGGTTATTCAGCCTTACAGCCAGCAGACCCAGAACACAGTGAACAAATGGCAGCTGGCCCCTAGGAGTTTTCCGATTGTCTTTCTGCAGTTTTTGAGGAGAGGGAGGCTGATGGGCTGCAAGCTTTAGCCTGGGACTGTCTGGCCCTCTGTTATGCTGGAAGGGGGTTTCCCCTCCTCCTGGGGGAGGACTTCTCTCTCTCAGGTCCCTCCAGTGACAGTCTAGGACTTCTCAGTTTTGGTGAACTTCTAAAGCCTGGCATAGAGTATAGACTTTAGAGTCAGACCTGAATTTGAATTCTGGTTCTGCCACTGTCCTGCTGGGTGACCTTGGGCAAGTTACCTCCCCCTTGGGCCTCAGCATTCTGATCTCTAAAATGGGGTAAAATTCACCCTGTGTCACACTTGTGACAGTGGCTCAGCTTGAGTCTTGAGATGTAGAGGCACTTGGTAGGTGTTCCCTCCCTTATCCACAGTTACTGTGCTGGGCACTGGTATAGGACTGTGCAAAGAGGGGACAGCAAGAACAGCTTCTCAAGAGGCTGAAGTCTGCCTCCTCTGGTGCTACTGCCCAAATACCATGGAGCCCAGGTGTCCCTCAATGCCAGGACAGCCCAACAGGATCTAGGAGATGAGGCTGTGTCCCATGAGCCTGCCCCTCCCCAGGCTGAGTATTACCGTAACCATTTTTCAGGGGCTGGGGCCATGGGCCCCATACCTGTGGCTCCAGCTGTGCCTAGCTTAGTGACACAGTAAANACCATAATAGGATTTCCTACCCTCTTAACAGTCACAGTGGGAGCCAAATTTCTAATACATAAAACTTGGAACACAATTCAAGCTTCAATAGTTTTGGGGGGACATAATTCAATCCACTACATTCTGCACCTAGACCACCAAAACTCATGTCCTTTTCACATACAAATACATTCATTCACCCCCAAAGTCTTAACTTGTTTCAATTCAAAAGTCCAAAGTTCAAAGTCCCATCTGTGAAATTCAAAACAAGTTATCTACTTCAAAGATACAACGGTGAGACAAGCATAGGGTACATATTCCCGTTCCAAAAGAGAGAAATAGGCCAAAAGAAAAGTGTAACAGGTCCCAAACAAGTCTGAAACCCAGCAGGGCAGACGTTAAATCTCAAAGCTGGCAAATCATGTACCTTGACTCCATGTTCCACCTCCTCTGCACACTGGTGTGGGGCTTGGGTCCCCGAGTCCTTGGGCGACTCCACTCCTATGTCTTCCTGGTTTCAAGTCACACATCAGCTCTCCCAGCCTCTTGTTCCACTCTGGTAGCTCCACAGGCCTGGGATCTCCATTAGACATGGTACTGATGGGGTTTCTGTGCTGCAACTCTGATTCAACATTTCTGCTCGACATTGCTCTAGTGAAGGCTCTATATGGTGACTCCACCCCTGAGACAGATCTCTTCCTGGGCCCCCAGACTTTTCCAGGGACCTGTAGCAAACTGCTGAACAGTGTGACTTTGTAAGCAGCCTTAACTTAGATGCATAGCTGTTTACCAAGCAGCTTTAAGTACTTCACAGATTGCCTTTAACAGGCTTTTAGTAGGCTGCAAATGCTTCCCTCGAGACAGACTCATCTTCCCTATCTGTGATGTTACACTCCTAAGCTGGTCCTGAAAAACTGGTCACCTGATCACTCTGTGTTCACTGCCTCTCCCAAGATAGTTGTACCCTGTTTTTAGCTATTCTGAGAAAAGGCTGACTCAGGACTGGATTGGGGATGGCAAGGGGCCACCATTTCCCTGCCCTTAGGCTCATAGAGAGTCTGCATCTGGTCCTGTCCTCACCCACGGGAAACCAGAGCAGGCTCAGCATGGTGGGAAGAAGAGATCCTAGAATTCCAGAGCCAGGCAGCCCTAGAGAGCCATGTCCAGCTCAGTGCCCAGCAGAAGGTGGGCATACAGCAAGGGTTAGCCTCCCTCCCTGGGCAATGGACAGGGTGCTGGAGGAGGCCACGCTTCTTCTACTAAGCATGAGTACCTGCTGCCCCCTGGTCTTGTACTGAGTGCCAAGGGACAGAGAAGATGTGGGCCCCCTAGTGTGGGAAATTCAGAGGTGACAGATCCATGTAGGATGTATGATATTGGGGAACACTTCCTGGAGCGATGAGGTCTGAGCTAGGCCTTGAAGGCCAGGTGAAGATTGGAGAGAGAGAAGCCCAGATGTGACGAGGGGATCTAGGGGTGAGCCACAAGATAAACCACGCTTGGCATGAGCCTTCCTTCCCTCTATGCTGGGTTATTCAGCCTTACAGCCAGCAGACCCAGAACACAGTGAACAAATGGCAGCTGGCCCCTAGGAGTTTTCCGATTGTCTTTCTGCAGTTTTTGAGGAGAGGGAGGCTGATGGGCTGCAAGCTTTAGCCTGGGACTGTCTGGCCCTCTGTTATGCTGGAAGGGGGTTTCCCCTCCTCCTGGGGGAGGACTTCTCTCTCTCAGGTCCCTCCAGTGACAGTCTAGGACTTCTCAGTTTTGGTGAACTTCTAAAGCCTGGCATAGAGTATAGACTTTAGAGTCAGACCTGAATTTGAATTCTGGTTCTGCCACTGTCCTGCTGGGTGACCTTGGGCAAGTTACCTCCCCCTTGGGCCTCAGCATTCTGATCTCTAAAATGGGGTAAAATTCACCCTGTGTCACACTTGTGACAGTGGCTCAGCTTGAGTCTTGAGATGTAGAGGCACTTGGTAGGTGTTCCCTCCCTTATCCACAGTTACTGTGCTGGGCACTGGTATAGGACTGTGCAAAGAGGGGACAGCAAGAACAGCTTCTCAAGAGGCTGAAGTCTGCCTCCTCTGGTGCTACTGCCCAAATACCATGGAGCCCAGGTGTCCCTCAATGCCAGGACAGCCCAACAGGATCTAGGAGATGAGGCTGTGTCCCATGAGCCTGCCCCTCCCCAGGCTGAGTATTACCGTAACCATTTTTCAGGGGCTGGGGCCATGGGCCCCATACCTGTGGCTCCAGCTGTGCCTAGCTTAGTGACACAGTAAACACTCACTCTACTACTGCCTGGAGGGGAGATTGAGGCCCAGCCAGGCAGGACAGGGCCTGACCTGTGGCCATCTTCCCCACCACCCACCCCAGGAATGGGCTGCAGTGTCATCCTCATGTACATGTTCTGCACTGATTGCTGGCTCATCTCTGTGCTCTACTTAACGTGGCTGGTGTTTGACTGGAACACGCCCAAGAAAGGTAAGAGCACAGGTTTCCCTTGCTCCACTCCCTCGCCCTTGGGACACTCCCTCCTGCACAAGCAGAGTTCTACATCATGAGTGCTGTCTCTTTTTACTTAACACCTACTTAGTGAAAAGCACTGGGCTAGTCCAGTGTATGGTTTGGGGTTGGGGGTTGAAAGCTCCTCAAAAGGCACCCCCCTAGTCCTGAGAGCAGTTCACTACTCAATCTAGGGTTTGCATACATGAGGTAAAGAATGTGGGAAGGGGCCCATTGGGAAGGGGGCAAAGATGCTACATGGGGTGAGAGTCACCTACCTCGGTTTCAAACTGGCTCTGTCTTGTTTGCCTTGCCCAGACATTCCCCCACCCTTACTTCTTCCCAACATTGTGTTTTGTTTCCTGGAAGGTGGCAGGAGGTCAAAGTGGGTCCGAAACTGGGCTGTGTGGCGCTATTTTCGAGACTATTTTCCCATCCAGGTAAAGACTAGTGGGTATTATCTTGGGAGGGTGGGAATGAATGGGAAATCTGAACTTAACCCACCACGCATCCACAGTGACCCTGTGTACTGAGTTGAATCATGTGGAATCTTCACTATTAGCATCTATTCATACTACACCCTGCTTTATGCAGGATTGGAGGGAATTTAGGATACATGTAATGCCATATGGGTTGAGAGAAAAATCAAGACTTGGGAGGGAAAAATACTAGTGTTCAGTCAACAGAGGTGCTGCAGGTGAGCTGCACATTTAGCTCTGAGCTTCCTGGCAGTCAAAGCAAAAAGGGAAATATGATAGTTGTTAGCTTCTTTTTAAAAAAAAAAAAAGATGACCAGTAAGGGGATCTTAACCGTTGGCTTGGTCTTGTCG